AATTGTGGCAACATCTTTTCACGAGAATCTTTGAGTGTTTCTTTGGAGGTTGCCGCCCCCCCACCACTCCCTCAAATGAGGTAGGTTAGAGGGCTCGAAGCACATTCGTCCTATCATCCTCCATTTCTCTTCCAATCTGTCCTCTTATGTTAGTAAATATACACGATGTCGCTAAATAAGTCTCTCGAACTCGGTGTAAGTATGCGCCCAAAATGTTTCTGAGGTCTTCCCTTTCTAATGACTCACTTTAGTGAGAAGTACGACTGTTTGTCTGAAGGTAAAATTTCAGATTTTCATAACATAATATATTTTATTTTGTATTCAATGCGGTTGGAAATGACTTTTAAATTTGCCTCATTATAAACTGACACTCTCGAGTGAGTTTTGTTCGAAGCCGTCCTCGAGACGACCTCCTTAGATTACGTTGAATGTGTGAACAACTTTCGTATGATGGTAGGACCAACTCTTGCCCACAAAGTCATATGAGAATACCTTTGGTGTACCAAAGAATAAATGAGTGGTATATACTCAAAAAGTGGTTTTTAAATGAATCTATAGATTTTCACATGGTGCAGTCACTTTCCCTTCGAGTTATAATGTGTCATAATGAGATACGTCCTCCAGAAGCTTTGCAGTATTTAGTATTAAGTCAATGAGCATTGTTCAACATAATAACTTCGAATGGTTGCAAGAATTATGTCCTTCTCTGAGAAGATGGAAACGCCAGACCTAGTCATATGATTGTGGGGAAATTCAACTACGAGTCCTTCATCACTTAAAACGAAATAGGGTGAATACCCCTCATACATTTGATCGAGTAGTAGTCTCAAAAACTTAATTATAAAAGAAAAATAAGAGACACTCGTTTAGATCCGTTTATGCCTTCGAATGAAATGATGTTTGTGGATACGAAGAGAAAGTGAATTTCGACTAATCTCTTAAGATTGCAGGAACTTTATTGCAGAAACTTCCATTTCGTATGAAAATTCACACTCAAGCAAAAGTAGCAGGACCAGTATGAAAGATAATTATGCAAAAAAAGTTGAATTTCGAAGAATCTCTTGTTTCATCATTGTTGAAATAACTTCCATTTCGAGTGAAAATGTTTGGTGAAGAGATTCGAAGGTCGATTCCACCAGAAGACGACGGCGGATTCCTCTCTCGATTAGCTTTACTGGAACATTCATGTTGATGCTGCTTCTGAGGTAATCTGCTTCGATTTCGATGAAAAGATGCTAAGCTTCAACATGAATGTTCCAGTAAAGACAAACGGCAGCTGGTCAAGAGGAATTCGGCGTCGTACTCTGGTCAAAAAGACCTTCGAATCTCTTCACCAGATACTTTCTCTCGAAATGGAAGATTCCTCGAAATGCGACTTTTTTTCGCATATTTCCCTAACATCGGCATAATTGAAGTAATTATCATAATTTCCTGTAAGGCCAATCAAAAGTTGGTCAAGCTGAATCCGCGGTCTTCTTCTGGTGGTGTTGACATTCAAATAAAAATAATCACAGACTTTCACTAGACATGGAGGTGGGCTCAATAATTATACAGCAAATGATTCTTCGAATTTCTCTTTAAATAAATTTGAGTGATTTACCTATTTGGTCTTTCAGGAAATCACGAATGAGTAACCATCGATGGAGAGGCAGGAAGTTTCGTGGTTTACTTGCGAGTATTACCGGAATTGCTTTTCATCCACTATGAATGAGCTCGAATCCCTACATGGCAAGTTCACGAGTTTAAATGCAACGCAACCGACATGATTGCTCAGAGCCAAATTGGAAGATAGGCAGCCTATCCTCATCCGTATTTGCACATTTCAGTTTATCCTCAGTCTATCGCGGGATTTCGTGATGATCTAAAAACCGCCATGTTAACTGCTTCGATATTTTGTAGAACTCCTCGTATGCGGGAATCCGCCGTCGTCGTTTGGTGGAATCGACATTCGAATCTCTTCGCCAAACACTTTTTGCTCGAAAATGAAGTAAGCTCATTAATTATGAAAGAGAATTAGCCAGACCATTTTATGCCAATCTAGATTTTTTTTATTTTTCCTTGCTTATTTGAGTCTATATATATGAGGAAAGATAGAGCTGAATAGTCTTCTTCTCGAGACTTTTGCAAGAATGAGTTCCAGCTCTGTGGATGTCCATCATATGATGGACGAAAGCTCAGCCGTTTCCACTAGAAACGAGGGAGGATGTCTCACGGACTGCGCCAACCTGAACGCTGTATTAAAGCCAAACGGCTGCAGTACAATGGGAATCAGCCGTCGTATTCTGGTGAGATCGACCTACGAATCTATTCTTCGTTGACTTTCATACGAAAAGAAATGATGATTGTGCTCATGAAACACTCTCACTTGTAACAGAAATCAGCTTAACAACTTTATATATAATCAGTTTCATCTCAATCCAGTCCTACATGTATTCTGTAGCGAAATCGTGGAAATTCTGAGCATGTAAGCAATGTAATCATTTGCGATTTTGCTTATCTTCATTTCCCAATACAGAGCGACATTTTTATATATACCCATTTATACGTGAGGTTTGATTTCACGCTTAAAATGGCATATATTGAGCTGAAGATATCTTTGGTATGAAAAGAATAGACAAACAACCACAAACATGACGCTAGTTTTCCTCTCTTGTTTGGCCCAATTTCTTGAAGTCAAATCACATGCGTAGGTATTTTACTCCACGAGGAAGGAATGGATAAGTCTAGAGGTTATGAATACACACGTAAGAGAGCTTAAGAAAAATTTCAAGGTCAATCCTGGGGCCAAACTAGGCGTGAAGTGAGGATAGAGTGTGGGTAGCTTGGTGATCTGGACACTGAGTGCCGAGCCAACGAAGCAGGTCATAGTCAGCACCAGCCTCGAGTCATAGATCATTAATGAGTTGGAGATAAAAAGCCAAAACCTCCCATTTATGGAGAATGAATTTGTTTCGAAATGATCAGAAAATCTTGGATAAAATTTTGTCAGCATAAGTCGCCTAAATGATACTTTTCCCAGAATCATGTCATGGTGAAAATGAGATTCATTTAACCTTGCCTCCTAAAAGGTTTTCTGATTCAGGCTGCTGGGTTGGTCAACGTAGACCAAGATAGTGTAGCCCTCGGTATGGTCGCAGTTTCCTTACGATGTACAGAAGTGAGTTGACCTCGTTTTCGCAATCTGGTCTTGTTGACAGGGTGACTTGCTGGACGCTCCTTGTCCGAAATCCTCTGCCATAGTAGACATCATAATTACCAGCGTCACACCGTGGACCTGGTACATTTTCAGATGTTTCGCCGGCATCGTCAAGCTACGAACCGTCAAAGAGACTAGAAAAGCACGTCTACGATGCCGGCGAAACGTCTGAGAATGTACCAAGTTCATAGTCTGACACTGGGAATTATCACATATACTATAGCAGAGGACTTCGGACAGGGTGAGTCCGACTAAGTCGTCCTGACAACAATACTAAGTTGTGAAAACGAGGTCAACCCACTTCCAAATCTGTCAAGGTGGAATTACTTGCTCGTGAGTACAGCAAAAGTAGACTGCATCATTGGACAAAAGGGGTTGAGCAATGAGCGGTAGAAGAAGAGTCTTATTTACCACCACTTGTTTGACAGGTCGTGTGTGTGTGTGGTTTGTCTGGTGTGTCAGAAATACTGACTAATCGCCGTCTTGATTATGTCCCTGTACTATGAGCTCTTGAGAGTGAAAACCCTTCTATGAATCCCTTAAGTCAAACCTACAGCCAGGGCTATCTTTTGGGAGACAAAGCCAATGGAAATGGAATAATATGAAGGCCAAGTTCGAGTTTCTTCTACTTTGTTCAATGTCTCCTTTTATATTATAAAAGTGATTTGACCTCATTTTCACAACCTCGTCGTGTTGTCAAGGTGGCCTCTAAGAGCTAACCTTGTCCATAGGGTTTTTCATAATTATTTACCGCGTCGGGCCGTGGATTTGGTAGGCACCCAGACGTTATGCTGTCCTTTCATTCGGTACAGTGAATGAACCTTTTCCTTTGATTACGACGTCGATGAAAAATAGGGGAATGTAGCATCTCCATACTCTGACGCTGGAAATTATTATGACTACAATGGCACAGGGTTCTGGACAATGTGTGTTAATCGCAGTAACCATGACTACGTGATCTTTTTGCAAAAATGGGTTTAAAGTGAGCTTTATTGATATCGTGAGGCCTATTCACCACATTTCAGATAGCCAAACTCAGTCCTACTTTAATGTAAGTCTCGACGCCTACAAGACACGATCAAATTTGCCGGCCATGGGCCTTCTATTTCGAGGTACATGTGAAAATATCAAGTGAAATTCGACTCGCCGAATCCGTCTTGGTGACGGCAAAAGTAATTCAAAATTAATCCGACAAGTGCTTCTCGCCCTTGGCCCTCTTTTAACTTTGCGTAGAAATGTATAATTGTCGGGTGTAGCAGAGGTTCAAAGTTGGAATTTAGAAGTAAACAAGAGGTAATCCAAGATACATTAGACAAATTCGGCTTCCGTTTCCCACATCCTCACAGGCCGGAGGCCTAACGAAGCGGAGTCTAACGAAGTACTTGCATCCTTCGGCGGCTGCTTCGGCGGGCACAGAAAGCCCGGTTAAAAGTTATCCGGTTGTTTCGTCTTTTCACACTCATTCTCAATGCCGCTCCCCCCACTCCACCCCCTCCTTCTTTCATATTCACACACACTCACACAAACATATACATTGCCTCCGTACCACCCGCCTCCTTCCACACACCGTGGCAGTGCCCGTCCCCTCGACCCCTTCTCTCGTCTCCCGACCATTGCCCACTTTCATCTCCGCCTCTTGGCCCTTTTCAGACGTGGAAACAGAGCCCATCCTGTGCGAGTATGTGACAAAAGATGTGGGCACTTTCCTGGAGGCAAAGGCGCAAATACCGACGACATGCTTTCAGGCTTATCGGCTCATTCGCTTTCACATCCTGGTCCTGTTGCAGCACCGGCCGTCGCGATGTCTGCCTGCCACAACTTCCTTTTCGGCAGCCTCCTCCATACGCCATCACCAACACCCCACGATCCCTTAGCCACCTTCCCTCTCTCACTACTAATAGCAATTCTATTAGAACTCGCATTTTTCTTCCCTTCCTCCGCTGACTTCGCCTCCAACTGGACAAATTTCTAATTATTCCATATGCTATTTGCAGGCGCAGACGCCCCTGTAAGCCGGCACACACACACACACAAACACACACAAATGCACACTCAAGTTCACACACACAGACGGGGCTAGAAACACCATTTAGCAAAGGATATTTTGTCTTTTTCTTTTCAAGATTGATTCCGCCAGTGCTTTTTGTCGTGTTACCTAAACAGAACGTGGCTCTACGGGCTCAAATTAATTATTAATTAGCACTGCTTGTACTGTGCTAGTATTCATTCAACAAATCAATCATCCATTAACTTAACTCCCCACCCGTTCACCAATGCGCCGGTATAGCCAATCATTCTCTTATTTCCTCATTCGTTTCGCCTCATATTTGCATCCATTTAATGACTCATTTAACTGAATAGTCACTTTCATTTCGAATGAAAGGAGATTTCAAGGTCGATCCCACCAGAAGACACAACGCAACCTCCTCGTGGCTGTCCCGTAAAAAACACATTCCGATTTTGGCGAAAATGTGCTAAGCTTTCTTAGTAGGCAAGTGGAAAAAATGGTTTACGTAGATTTCCTTAATAGATTCAGGTTGAAGAACCTTTCAGTTCAATTGGAGAGGCTAGTGGAAGGGAATATTAGGTTGCCTTGTAGCTGTAAACTTGTACAAATAAATCTTCAACTAAATTACCCCATGACCTCGATGAACCCATGCGGAGTTTTCGTTTGTAATATGATGCACATACTGGGGGCAAGGATAGCCTTCTTACGAAGAGTAAGTGGATTTCACATAATCTCCTAAAATAATAATTGCGAATAAAAGTTGGGTTTCGATGAATCTCTTGTCTCATAATTGTTCACTTTCCTTCCATTTCAAGTGAAGACGGCTGGTGAAGAGATTCTAAGGTCGACTCCAACAGTAGACGACAGAGGATTCATTTTGACGAGCTGTCGGTTGG